CCCTCAGCTAAAATTGAGTTGAATTGATTAACTTTTTTCTCCTCTAAACTGGGATGTGCTATGTATGTACTAACACCTTTTTTTTATTCTCTTTTATGAATTAAGCATATGGCTAGATTAACATAGTAGCCTTTCTCATTTTCAGCCTGAACCACAAGCAGGCTGATTTTAAAATCTCAGCATCTTTAGTCTTTAAAAAAAGATAACAGTGTATACAAGTGTTAAAACTGTCATTTTCATTAGTTGAACAGAAATTGATTACTTTTTTATTAATTTTATTTAAAAGTGTGTAGTTTTCCATTATTAGTTGTGGTTTAATCTCTACTATTACTTGAAATTGACTCGCTCTTTAGAGGTTGCTTGTAAGTGTCCCTTGTATCTTTGAACTTGGCTAGATGTATTGAGAGCGCTCTGATTTTCAGTGTTTCTGCCCAATCCTCATGAGATCTAGGAGGAAAATAAATCCCATCCACCATAGTCATGTAATTCGAGAAAGTCCCCTGAAGCACGTTGTATTTTATAAATGTCCCAGATGATTATTTATCCCATAAGAGGAGCTGACATTGTTGGATGTTGACTTATATGTAAGAAAAATTATGCTGTTTCTGTAGCAACAAACCCACTGAGGAAGCAGGACTCCCCGCATTTCTCTTCTTCTCCTGCTGTGACGTCTTAGATCCACAAGACAAGGGTGAATTCACTGTTACATGTTATAGATTCCATTTGCTTGCGCTACTCGTAATTTTCGATTTTCATGAGTTTTCTCAGTCTTGCTCACAGTGGCCTTAATCGAGAATGATCAAACTGTCGTAATCTCATGCCCGCAAGGCTTTCTTTATAAGAACTCAAAGCCCGCTACTTCAGTATTGCTGTTACTCAGTACACAGGTTTTTTCTGTCTACTTGAGATAGACTCAAGTCCCTAGAAGATTCTGACACAAATCCTAACCTGTGAGTTTTTCCCTCCACACCATCGAGCAATTCTCCGACATCAATTACGTGTCCTACAGTTTAACTCCATTCTGACACTGCCTACCCAGAGATAGTGTCAGAACCTACAGGTTAAAGTCTTAGTCCCACAGGACTGCCCTCCACTTCAGATGCCAGTCACAGGTCCAGATTGTCACCTATGCTTCTGACCAACCGGGTTCCATTAATCTGCTAGAGTGGCTCACAGAACTCAGAAAAACAGTTTCTTAACTAGATTACCAGTGTATTACAAAGGATAGTAAAGAATATGAATCAACAACAGCTAGATGAAGAGATACACAGGGCTAAGGCCAAACAAAGGAGCTTCTTTTTGGAGTTTGGGGCCTGAAAGACAGCATGTGGATGCATTCTGACTCGTCATCCTAGAAGCTCTCCAAACCCTGTCCCTTTGGGCTTTTATGGGTGCTTCGGCGTGTTTGTTTAAATCATTGGCCATTGGTGACCGAACTCAATCTCTAGCCCCTCTCTCTTCCTAGGACGTGGGGTTGGGGGTGGGACTGAAAGTTTCAGTCCTGTAATCAGTCACACGGTGACTCCATGGGAAACCAGCCCCATCCGTGCTACCTACACGCTTTCCAAAGTCACTTCAGTAACATGACATAAGACACCTCCATGGCTCTCAACGCTTAGGGATGCCGGGAACAGAGACAGAGACCAAATATGTATTTCTGATTATAAATCAGGCCATCACACTTTCTTACCAACTTTCTGGTCTGAGAAAGTGATAGATTTGATGAGAGTGAGCGTTAAGGCAGCTTAAACAACGTGAGGAAATTGTGGTCAGTCGGTACGTATGTTCGTTGCATTTCTGCTTAACTAGACGATCATACAGAAAAGTGCAGGTCATGCTTCATGTCAAAAGAGTGTACAGTCTAGAGGGAAAAAGGCAAATATTGTGGTTTCTTATCTTGGTAACAGAGGTGAAGACAGATATCTTGCGCTCGTGAAGGCTCAGTGACGTAGTACATTATCTCACTTAGAACAGTACCTGCCACATAGAAAGCACTTAGTGAAAGATGCAAGTACTACAGATAACAATAATATCGTATCTTAACAATGAGAAGGGTTTGGGTAGTTGGAGAGTTGTGGAAAAGGGAGAGAAAATGCATATGGATCTGAATCGACAGGAGAAAAATTCCGAGAAGTCCTAAGTTAAATTACAGTGGCAGAGAGTGAGAGAAAGAGACAGGGACAGTTAACCAGGGCATAGCTGCGGGCCAGCCAACGAGAGAGACTGCCCGCCTCCCCGGACGCCTGCGGAGCCTGGACTCGCGACCACGACAGCCGCCGCACCCCGCGCGCCTTGGGACCTTCAGGACTGTCGCCTGTGACGGCCAAAAGCAGGAGCTCTCTCTGCCTACGGACACTGCTCCTGTCCTAGAACTGGCCCCGCTCCACCTTGTCCCTCCCCCGATGCGTAGTCAGTGCAAAGTCATTCAGAAGAGCTCACATCGTTCTTCCCCAAACGTGGCGGATGAAAGAGCCCGTCACCTGCAGGCGCGTGGCCCACGACCTGGCCCCGGAAACCGTTTCTCTCCGAAAAGCTTTCGGCCACGGAAGGCTTTGTTTAACAGAATGTTCCGTGTGCGCGGAGGAAAGTGAGTAAGTGTAATCTGGCCGAAGTAGAAAGATTTCTTCGGAGGGGGAAGGAGGTAGGTTCGAGGAGGCGGGATAGAGCTCACTTGGCGGTCCCTCGGTGCCAGGTCCCTCGGTGCCAGGGCCCTCGGTGCCTGTGTGGTGATGAAGACCCCCCGACGTCTCCTCATCGCCCACGACAGGGAACTGAACATGACACGAGCAGCTGTGCAGAGCTCCACTTACGCTGGACAAACCCTGGCAGAGAGCAGACCAGCCCGGAGTCGTGGAAGGAAGCCAGCAGCTGCGGGGCCCAGCGCGTGCCCCGCCGCTGGCGAGACGGTGGCGTGGACAGATGAGTCGGGCCCTGTTCCGGCTGGAACCACGGGGGTTGGAGAAGAGAAGGAGGAGGCTCCTGCTGTGCCCGAAACCCTGAAGAAAAAGCGAAGGAATTTCCCAGAGCTGAAGATCAAGTGCCCGAGAGAGAAGTTTGCCCCCAGCGATGCTCCAGAAGGCCAGGCGGGAGCCTCTCTGTGAGGAAGGTAAGCACCATCGCAGGGAGCACAGACAGGTGTCCAGACAGACTCGATTGGCTCGCTGGCAGGAAAGCTGGCGATGTCTTTGTTCCTGCGAGACCCAGATTGGCAGGTGGCATCAGGTCCAGAGGCATCAGTGGTGTGAGCCCAGAGGCCGAGAAGGCTCTGCAGCTTCTCACCCTCACCAGCTCCGGTGACGGGCACACAACCTCGTCTGTGTTCATGTGACCTCAGCTCAGTGTCAGGAGGACCTCGACTCCAGTCCATGACAGAGGGCCCTCCATCCAGAGCCCGGTGCTCCCGACCTGCCTTGCCGGTGACTTCTTATGTATCATTCCTTACTGTTTATTCTCTCCCTTGAACTCTAAGCTTTTAGTTTAAATAAACCTTCGTGTGTTTTGCTCGCCGTTCAGAATGACTTTGTGACTCCTCTGAGGGGAGGAATTCTGTTATACTTAAATATCCTTCGACAGCACTGGCTGTACTGCTGCGCTCACCTTGGTATTTCGGTATTTCTTCCCAAATCCCCTTTTGAAGAGCAATCCCTATTTCTGTGTGATTGGCTGGAGGCATATGGAGTCCAAGTGATCCGCCTAAGGTCACCATACCAAGTTTAAGGTAGAACCGTATTTCGTTTTCCAGTTTTCTTCTAGATCACGTTGATTCCTTGACATTTGTGAGATTTGTGTGTGTTCCAGTTTTCTTTCTGAAATGCCTGATTCATCCTACGTGACACTTCTTTGAATTTTTTTCATATGCTCTGAAGGGAACTACAGAATTAGGAAAGACTCTTGAGGGTTTTAGTAGCTTTTATATACCTTCTTCTTTCTTTAAAAATGTTCCCATGGTCTCGTCGTTCTACCTTAACCCCCCGTCTCTTCTCTTAAATGAGTGTTTGCAAATCTCTCGGGAGCCTTGTCCCCCTCCAAGGTACTCACTGTCATCACTGCCACCACCATGCTGGTGGCTGAAACTTTGGTGCTGGCACAGAGTAGGTCGGCAGAGTAAATATCTGTCAGTTGAGCTCATCTGCAGCTTTTTCTCAGCTCACCTCTGACCTCCAACTCTGTTTCAGGTTAAACTTTTCCATATGGATTTTCAATCAACACCTTAAGTTTAATGCACCTAAAAATGAGCTTATTTTTTTCCTACCAAAACTTGCAATGTGTCTGTCTCCTTTGCTTACATAATGGTGCCACCATCTCCTGGTCACTCAGTGTGGAAATTTCTAGAATCATCTTGAACTCGTTCCTTTTCCTCATTCCCATACCTGTCATTTGTCAAGTCCAGTCAGTTCCACTCTGAGCCCCCGTCCACACCCTTTGCCTTTCACCTTGTTTATATATTAAAACGTCGCAGACCAGTTTAGCCCCTTCTTCTAAAACCTGCAGTCGTCTTGTCCTCTGTATATTCCTGAGCTTTTCTGGGCTCAAACTGCATCCTCAGTGCCTTTCCCCGTCCTTTCTTTCAATTCCCCAGTGTCCAGTCCCTTCTTTTATTCAATAAGCCTTTGCCAGACAGTGTTGTAAATGCCGTTGTCATGGCGCAGGCCACGCCCTGGCAGAGGCCTCG